TGATTATTTTTTTTTCAGTGAACCAGCCGTATCCCACCGAGGCAAGGTGACCTAAAAAGAAAAACAAAAATTCTTTTTAAATTTAGTAATTTATATGGGAGAAGGGGTCACTAGCCCCCTTGCTCCCATTATTATTATTATGAATTGGGTTGCCAAGGGATTAATATTTATTATTATTATTGCTTCTGTTTCTACTTATTGACTTCTACTTTACTTCTTTACATTTACTTTACTACTACTACTACATCGCAGACTTCGCTTTCTTCATTTTCTTGTTTTGTAACTGGTATAAAATAGTTGTTTCTTAATTCTTTTCAGGTTGGTTACTTCTTAGAAATTATGGCTAAAAGCCAGTACAAAGAGAAATATCTTAATCTTGGCTTCAGGCACATCACTCAGTGTGGCAGATTTAAACCAGTGTTATTTGTGGGGAAGTCTTGATCAATGAGTCATTTAAGCAGAACAAGCTTAGAAAGAACTTAAAAGGAAAGCACAGTGCATTTGTGAACAGAGTGCAGAGTTTCTTTGAAAAGGAAGGAGGAGCTGAAATGGCAAGACCGGATGCTCCTGCAAACACAGCTGTTTACTCTGTGTGGCAAGCAAGGGTAAAGAAGCCACATGCCATTAGTGAGGAATTGGTAAAACCAGCAATGCTTGAGATGGTGCAGATAGTTTGTGGAAGTGAAGCTGCAAAGACTATTAAACAGATACCTCTGTCAGATGACACAGTCAATGAATTAAGAACATGTCATGTGATATAATAGACCAGGTAACTGCCAACATAAAAAGGTGTGGACAGTTTAGTCTCCAGCTGGATGACTGTGCATACCAGTGATGATGCTCGTGGTTTACATGTGGTATTAAGGTTCAGAAGATATAGAAAGAGGAATTTTTACTCTGCTGACCATTGCACACCTCAACTGGAAAAGATATTTTGAAGATTTTGGACTCATTTTTCAAGGAACAGGGGCTTGAGTGGAAGCAGTGTTTTAGTTTGTTGTGATGGTGTGCCAACATTGTTAGGCACATGTCAGGGTTTCACTGCTAAAATGAAAAAGGAAAATTTGCATGTGCTGGTTGTTCACTGTCCTTCACCATGAAAATTTTGCTTCATGAATTGTCACGTGATTTGCAAACATTATGCAGGAGGTCATTCAGGTCATTAATTTCATTAAAGCTAGGGCTCTTTCACTCCAGGATCTCCCCTCAAATGTGTTCTGATTTTGGTTTGGAACATGAGCATCTATTGCATCACTGAGGTTAGGGGGCTTTCATGAGGAAAGGTGCTCCAACAATTGCTTGAAATGCAGAGCTAAACAGACATTTTTGGATGCAAAGAATCATTGGCCCCAAAATTCCCAGATTCAAAATGGATATTGAAAGTGGCTAATCTTGCAATATTTTTGCCGAGATCAGTACTTTGAACATGTTGATGCATGGTCGTAATCAAAGAAACTAACAGCTTTCAAGGGGAAATGGAAGTTGTGGAAGAGTAAAATTTAAGCTGGATAGACCATCATTTCCATCCTTGAGTGTATTTCTGGAGGATGAAACATTTCTAATCATCCAGGCCCAAAGCATAATTGTGAACATATTCTCAAGCTGATCACAAAGTTTGACCACTTTTCCCAAGAATGTGAAGAAATACACCAGGGTGAGAAACTTCTTCAACATTGAACCTGAGGACCTACCTGATTATATTTCAAATGTTAGCAAACTGCAGGCACAGCTTATCAAGATTCAGAATGATGAAATGCTTCATTTTGATTTCAAAATGCAAAAAAGAATCACTTGAGTTCATTCTGGATCAAAGTTTATAAAGCAAAGCAGATTCTTGGAGGTGAAGCCCCAAAGTGCTCTTTCCCTTTGTTACCCTTTGTTACAACTTTCCTATGTGAGGCAGGATTTTTAACGCTTATTTTTTTTTCCTTCTCCTCCTCCTCCTCTCTCCCTGACCCACCCCCAGTTACCTATCACTGCATCCCAGCACAATCCCCACCACCTAACCTCAATAACCTGGTTATTGAGATGGTTTACTCTGTACTGTATTCCTTCCAGAGAAAATGGACAGGGGTTAATATGGCACCTATGATCATAACTTTCAATACACAATTTTCTAAGGTTAATGACTCTTAATCCTATAATATTTACTTTTCATCCTAGGAAGCTTGTTCTAAAGCCAAGCTGTGGGGAAGAGATAATCCCTAGAAACAGTCACTGTAGTAATAACAGTTACTTTATTAATAATTTTGTTTTAGACATGGAGCAGAAGTTCTGGAGAGTGTGCGGGAAGGAAAAAAACAAAAGAAAATTAGCTTCGGTGGTACAGGATATCGTTTGGGCGAGACTACTGATGACACTGAGGGTAAGAATTAGAGACAGTCATGAACATTGTAATGGTTAATGAACAATTCTTGCAGAATAGGATGAATTAAAATATGAAGGATTTAAAAACAAAGATTTCTTCTTCTTTTTTTTTTCAGTAATACCAGACACTTCCAAGAAAGAAAATCGACCACGTGACGTTACACTAAAAATGTGGCGAACCGGCTTTACTGTAGATGATGGACCACTTCGAGCATATGAGGACCCAGCAAATGCCGAATTTCTGAATTCTATTAGGCGAAGGTGAAACCCTGTACCGTATTTTTTTTAATAGTAACCATCTCCCAACAAGGTAGTGACTCAAGAATGAGGAAATGTATTCACCATTGTACATTCAATCACTGTCTTGCCATAAATGTATTGACATTATGGTTCAGATGATCATGTGTTTGTCTGTAGATCTGTTCAGATGATCTTGTGTTTGTCTGTAGGGTTTCTGTAGATCTGTTGCAAGACTTGGATACGTACAGTGATACCTAGGGATATGAACTTAATTCGTTTCAGAAGGTTGTTCGAGTGCCGATACCAAATGAATTTGTTCTCATAAGGAATAATGTAAATTAGATTAATACATTTCAGACCCCCAAAAATACACTTACAAAAGCACTTACATAAATACACTTACATAATTGTTCGAGTTTCGAGCTGTTCGTTTCACGAGGTACCACTGTATATGTACAGTATTTATATCTTAGATCTTTTAACTTTTTATCTTCAGTTTGACATTTAATATTTTGTTACTTTCAGTATCAGAGTTAACTGCGATGAAGTGGTAGTATTTGAGCAAAAATCGTATTTGCTAGATTACAGTATAATGAATTACTTTAAGCAGCTTGTTCTTCACCTGTTTTGATAAGAATTGCTGAAAGCAGGATCATAGTGTACTAGTAATTATATTGTATTTGTACGTTACATTTACAGTCTTATAATAAACGGTTGAATACATTTTCAGAAGCTTTTATGGACAAGATCCCCTGTACATAGGCATTTTTTTTTCAGGAACAACTACTGCATATTGAAGAGCCTATGTATGTTTGCTGTTGTGTTACAGCAACTGTACTTGTGCATCTTTTGGAAAGCTTTAGTTTAGTGGACTTGGGTGACTTGCTGCTATAACCCTCAGCAAAATGGTTTCAAATAACTTAATTTATCATTACAGTGAAGTGCCTCTAGAGCTAATCCGGGAGGCAAGAGGTGGGGAAGTGTTTATCAATATGGCTGATCACCGCCATGAAGATTATGCTACATCTAAATCAGTTTTGAAAGCATTTACTGGCTCCGGACACACGTTAGGGAGGTAAGAAAATGTACTAATTTAGAATTAAGAGGGTAGAGTTGTGGAAAGTTGTATAGTTGATCCTTGAACAACTTGGGGATTAGGGGTACCAATCCCCTGTGTACTTGAAAATCCGCTTAAAACTTTTGACTCCTCAGAACTTTACTAATATCCTACTATTGACTGGAAGCCTTACCAATAACAAACAGTCTAATAACACATATTTTGTATATGTATTATATACTGTAGTCTTACAGTAAAGTAAGCTAGAGAAAACTTTTTAAGAAAATCATAAGAAAGAGAAAATACATTTACAGTACTGTACTGTATTTATTGATACCATACGTTTACATCATCGGTTTACAAGATGAATTGTCTGTCAGTACTTGAATCAGTATTGTCTTACATGATACAAAAGATTGTAAATGTTATACATATTACAAACACTAGATATCAAAAATGAAAAGATAATGTGAAAAACAAATTCATATTTGATTTAGTATTACATCGTTATATTTTTTTTTTTTAACATGGCCATTTCCTACCAAGGCAGGGTGACCTAAAAAGAAAGAAAAAACTTTCATTATCAGTCAACCCTTTCACCATCACTCATACATAATCACTGTCTTTGCAGAGGCGCCTAGATACATATGTTTACATTTCTTTCGATTGTGAACGGAACATGTACGATCTGTAATTGTTTGTGGGCGTAAGTTTTGATAAACTTCAACTTTTTATAATAGATTTGCGTATATTTATGGTAATAAATGATAAAATAGACTAGTATCTACATATATTTTATGCATTTTTGACATACCTTTCTTAATTTCTTATGGTCACAAATCTCCAAAAAATTTTCATGTACTGGATATTTATTGAAAAAATCCGCATATAAGTGGACTCGCGCAGCTCAAACCCATGTTGTTCAAGGGTCAACTGTATTTGCTTAATTGGTAAGCTAATAAGAGCAGTTTAAAATGTTTACAGATCTTTAAAATATATTTGAGAGTGAGTGTAGGCCTCAGGTGTAGGGAAGGGAGGTGTCACTGGTGTCTTGTTTGTGTGGAGTCTGTTTCTTAGTAGGGTGTAGATAATCAATTGTAATGGGTTACTCATGGAAACACTGCAGTGGGGGTGGGGAACTAAAGAGTGGTTTAGCACTTTCTTTCACTATGACTCGTTTCTTTGGCTACACTCGCACTTCATTGGCACTTAATGATCTAGTGTATTTCGCTACACTTATAGGGACCTAGGTGAAATTTTAGGAATATGTTTTGGTAACCATCTAGTAAGTTTTTAATGTGGATTATTTTAATTTGTGTAATAGTATTTGCTTTTCCGATGTGACTATTAACATAATAGGGATTTATTTTTGAGGGCTTTAGCTTTAGTGCATCTACGTTTTTGTTGACATCAGTGCTGAATAACCTCATAGGTCTAGGTGCACAGCATATATAACCACATATGCTATTTTCAGTATGATGAACACATTCAGAACAAAATAGACTTGCTCTCATTATTGGTAATTCTCCCAGTTTTATACTTACACTCGCCCAAATGACTGTAAACATAAAATTCCTAATCTTAAGTTAGTCCTAAGTTTGCCTGAAATACTCTGCCAATATAAGAGCTTTCAATTATAGGAACAGCGTATCATACCGAGATAAAAGCATTCCCATTACTGAATTATACTGATTGTAATACTGTTATGTTTTGTACTACTTCACTGTTATCATTCTTATTAATGATAAACTTTTTAATTAACTTTTATACTAATATGCAATAATGAATATTAAAATGTACTGCTCCATAACCCATCAATATAGAATAGTCAATAAGAATTAGGATTAGTCTGCCTGAAATGCCTAAGCATGCTAGTAGCTTTCTTTGTAATTAATATCTTATAATATGTAAACCACACATTGTAAGCTTTGCAAGGAAATAACAATTTTCATTTTCATTCTTTTGTTTTCCATATACTACATTACTGTCTCCTTATTTTTTCCCTTGTAGTATAGTAGTTTTATAAAACTTCATATTTATTCCCCTTTTCCTCACTTTTATGTCCTTGCTATAGGCAATCATTCTTTCAACACATTCTTGTTCACTAATGCAAGCACATGGCAACTTTGTATGTACATTAGCCAAATCCAGATGTAGAACTTCTTGACAAATGTTTCAGGTGTTGCTTTGAGAAATGTAGAATGTTTGAAGGTACAATATTTGGAATGTCTTGGGAAAATCTTAATACATTATTTTATATAAAATAATTTATTATTCTTTAGTCAGATTGCTAATTAACCCTTTGACTGTTTCAGCCGTATATATACGTCTTGCGTGCCAATGTGTTTGACATATATATACTCAAAAATTCTAGCGGCTTCAAATTAAGCGGGAGAAAGCTGGTAGGCCCACATGTGTTTGCGGTGTATTTTCGTATAGTATTTATGGTTGTATTCTCATTTTCTTGGTCTCATTTGATAGAATGGAAAACATATTACAGAAATAGAGATGATTTTGATTGGTTTTACTATGAAAAAGACCTTGAAATGGAGCTCAAAGTAGGGGAAATGTTTGATTTTTGCAGATGTTCAAGAGTAAACAAATGACATCATTGTCCAATAAATGTCCAACTAGCCATTCTAATATGCAGTCATGAATGGGTTGACATTATTTATACAATTATTACAATATTGCAGTAGTCTGCATAACAGTAAATCTTCTATTTTTTGTTTGAATAAAAATTCAAAATAGAAAGCAAGAGTAATATCAGAGGGGCCCGGAGACGTGACTGATGAACAAAGAAAATGTTATTTTAGAGCCAGGAATGTCTGCATTGTTCATTCTGGACCCTATTTTGAAATTTGCGTGAAATTGGCCAAATTGCCAATTTCTGACCACTTTATTGGGTAGTTGAAATCGGTAAATGGGGAGTTTCTTGTACTCAATCGATAAAACAAATGGAGTTCTAAAGAAATAGCTGAGTTTGGTCGACTGGAACAATGGAATTAGCCGAAAATAGGGTTCAAAGTGGGCAAAATTGCCAATTCGTAAATATCGCCGAGGTCGCTAACTTCGTGAGAGCATAATTCTGTAAGTTTTCCATCAAATTTCATACTTTTGGTGTCATTACCATCGGGAAAAGATTCTCTATCATTTCATAAGGAAAAAATAATTTTTTTTTTTTTTTTTTTTCAAATTGTGACACCAGGAGACACCTCAGGATTGGGGGTTGTGACAGTCAAAGGGTTAATATTTTTTGGAAAAAAAAAAGTCCAATGGTTGTCAGCATTTGTTCAATCTCTACAGATGTTTTATGAGTGATTAGAGGTCAAAGGTGTTGGGGAATTTATGATTTGTTCATTAGAGAAAAATCAATGTATGTAAGAGTCCTCATAAAATAGTTATGCCCTAGACAGCCTAAAGTCACTGATGACAGATTGCATGGGAGTTGGGAAAGTTAATAGCTTAATGTGGCAGTTTGTTTCACAATATGTCTATGGAATAAAAAGTGAGACAGCATAGCATTCTGTTATAGGATCAATTTTATTTTGTGTTTCTTAGGATATTGTACTGTACTTGTAGTGGTGCATAAGCTGGACTGTGAAAAACAGGTACCAACAGCTTGATCGATCATGCTGATCAAGCTGTTAATGCCCACTGCTCGCATTCCAATATATGCATCACAGCCCAACTGATCAGGAATTATTTCGAGGAATCTGTTGCGTTCCCTCTTGAAGACAACCAGGGGTCTGTGTGTTGGGAGGGTATTGGGAGTCATGGTCCCTTTGCTCCTTCCGAGTTCTCTGTGTGTACTTATCACTCGCCCACTTTTCATTGGAAGTATCCTACACCAACTGCCAAGAATTTTGTGTTCATTTGTAGTAATTTTGGTGTGCTGGTTTGGGACCAATCCCTCCAGTATCTTCCAAGTGTAGATTGTGATACATCTTTCTCACTCACATTCTAAGGAGTATAGTTATAGGGACTTCAAGCACAACAAAGTTCACATCCATACAACAGTGTTGGTACCACTATCCTCTGGTATATAACCCTTTTTGCCTCCATACTTAGTGCTTTGCTTCCACAGATGCCTTAGTACATTATTCACAATTTTCCATTTCTCGGTTCTGTGGTTCACGTAATCTCTAATAGAACCAACTTCTGACACATCTACTCTTACATATCTGAACACATTTACTTCCTGCATGCTCCCTCCCTCCAAACAGATATCCAGTCTCTCATTGCCTATATTTTTTGTTACTCTCATCACCTTGTCCTTTCCTATGTTCACTTTTAATTTCTTCTTTTACATCTTCTTTCTTTCAATGTACCAGCCGTATCCCACCGAGGTGGGGTGGCCCAAAAGGAAAAACGAAAGTTTCTCCTTTCAAATTTAGTAATATATACAGGAGAAGGGGGTTACTAGCCCCTTGCTCCAGGCATTTTAATCTCCTCTTACGACACGCATGGCTTACGGAGGAAGAATTCTGTTCCGCTTCCCCATGGAGATAAGAGGAAATAAACAAGAACAAGAACTAGAAAAAAAATAGAAGAAAACCCAGAGGGGTATGTATATATATGCTTGTATATGTATGTGTAGTGTGACCTAAGTGTAAGTAGAAGTATCAAGATGTACCTGAAATCTTGCATGTTTATGAGACAGAAAAAAGACACCAGCAATCCTACCATCATGTAAAACAATTACAGGCTTCCGTTTTGCACTCACTTGGCAGGACGGTAGTACCTCCCTGGTTGGCTGCTGTCTACCAACCTACTACCTACCTTCTTTTACATACCCTCCTAAATTTGTTTACCAACCTTTGCATTTTCTATTCATAATCTCCCTAAAGAACCATATCATCAGTAAAGAGCAACTGTGACAACTCCCACTCCGTACCATTTTCACTATCTTTCAGTCCTGCACCTCTTCCCAACACAGGCATTCACTTCTTTTACAGACCTATCCATGAATATGTTAAACAACCATGGTAACATCATACATCCCTGTTTAAGGCCTA